GCCATGGTAACTCGAAATGCCAATAAAAGTAATAGCACACATCACGGGGCCGAGCCAGTCATTTTGATATAACTTTTGTGGGGGTAGACGCTGTGGTTTGGGCCGCATTAACGGAGATAGAAATTTAGATACTGTTCCGAGGTGTAGAATAACAGGTGCCTGCCATGCATTTGCCTGGCAGTCCCCAATAAAAGGAAGTATGCAAATTGAGAAGAACAAGTGAAAGAAAATGGCATTAAAAATGAAACAAACAAAACAAAAAAGAAGCTAGTTTGTAAAGCGATGTAGAAAACTAAAAACAGGAACATGTCTTCATTGGTTTCTCCCTGGAACTTAACAGATGTTTGAAGCCACTTAGAGAGGTCAAGATCGACAGCTTCAGATCTTTTTGCAAGATGTTCCAGGAAACAGGAGCAGAGTAAGAGAAGGCCCTTTTGCCTAGTTCAGTCCGCACTGAGGGAACACTGCAGGTAATAATGTCCCGGGAGCGCACGCTGTAGCTGCACTCACGCAGAGACATGTAGGAGGAGATGTATGAAGGCAGCAGACCAAGAGGTCTCTCTTGTAAATGAGTCCTCGAGGCTCAATGGAATTTACCTGTCTAAATAAAAGTTTAATGAATTTATTAATCATCAAATGTCTCATTGAGGATATATTGGGATATTTACTACAAGTCATGACAAAGTCTGGTAGTTTCTTTGGGAACGTCCTCCTGCAGGCTGGAAGTGTTTCAAGTTCTCTCCTGCAGGTGTTTGATTTCAAACTGACGTCAAAACTTGAGAGACCTGAACGAGTTTCTCACACACGAACAAAGCAGATCTTTATGCTCACCTTCACTTACTGTTTGTTTTGGATTGCAAGTCTGTCAGAAAGTTTAGCAGATAAAGCATAAAAAAAATCAACAAGGGGTTCTGTTTATTTTATGTTTTAGATAGTTATGGGCATTTTTTTATATGTCCTCAACCATAATATAAGTCTTTCTACTATTAAATTGTGAAGCTACGAGTTTGGTTATGGTTTAATATCAAATACGTTGGACAATAAAGTTAGATAAAGATGAATTACAGACACTTTAAGAAGCAATGTGCACATTTGTGTTGGCTTGTAATAATTATTTGAGGAGATATGATCTCCTCAGTTGATCTTTATTGTTGTAACCTTGAAATATGGGGAGAGGGAGGGGAATAAAAGAAGAACTTAATTTAAAATGTTCTCTTTCTGTTCTGGAAGCGCTCTGGATGAACAGGTTTAAAGGCCACAAGAGCAAACTGCCGAGCAGACAGGTGTGGCAACATTGTGAAGCCAAACTAATGCAACATGTTGTGTTTTTTGTAAAGGTGATTTTATTGCGAGTCAATCTGAGGAGGTGGACGAGGACCACCTGCTCTCAAACGATAAACCGTCTGAACCATCTGATGACCAGAACAGATCAGACAGGTACAATAATCAATCTAATCTCACATGATGAAACTCATAATCTGACTGCTGGGAACGAACAATGACCTTATAGTGAGAAACATTCCTCAAGTTCAACAGGAAGTGTGATCATTTCCACTAGAAGTCTGAAAATGTTTTTTGTTTCAGGATTCAGTTGAGAAGACTAAATTCTCATCCACCGAGCTGCGTGTCACTTAAGAGTGATAAATCTATGGATTACCCTCTTCATTTTAAACGGTAATGTGTCATTGCTTTATTCTCATTGTTCCACCGTACTCCTGTTTTTATCTGTCATTTACAAAGGACTGTGAGGGTCCCAGAGGAAGCAGGTGAGGAAGTTTTATTTTGTTTCTAAGTTTTGAGAATAAAGGGGACAAAAACGTTTGAACAGTGCCATCCATCCATCCATCCATCCATCCATCCATCCATCCATCCATCCATCCATCCATCCATCCATCCATCCATCCATCCATCCATCCATCCATCCATCCGCTTATTCCAAAGTTTGGTTGTGGGGGCAGCAGCTTGATCAGGGAGGCCCAGACATCTCTTTCCACAGCTACCTCTTCAAGCTCTTCGGGGAGGATTCCAATGCGTTCCCAGGCCTACTGAGAGATGTAGTCTCTCCAGCATGTCCTGGGTCTTCCCGGGAGTCTCCTCCCAGTTGGACATACCCAAAGCATTTGCCTAGGGAGGCGCCCAGGGGAGCATCCTTACCAGATGCCTGAACCAACTCAACTGGCTCCTCTCGACGTGGAGGAGTAGCGGTTCTGCTCGGAGTCTCTCCTGATAACTGAATTTCTCACCCTATCTCTAAGCGAGAGTCCAGCTACCCTGCAGAGGAAACTCATTTCAACCATCTGTATCCGCAATCTCATTCTTTTGGTCACTACCCAGAGTTCATGACCATTGGTGAAGGTAGGAACATAGACCGACCGGTAAACGGAGAGCTTCGCCTTACAGTTCAGCTCCCTCCTCACCACAACGGACCGGCACAGAGTTCGCAATACTGAAGATGCTGCACCAATCCATCTGTCAATCTCACGCTCCATTCTTCCCTCACCCGTGAACAAAACACTGAGATACTTGAACTCCTCCACTTGAGGCAGAACCTCACCCTCGATCTGAAGAGAGAAATCGACTCTTTTCTGGTTGAGGACCATGGCCTCAGATTGAAGGTGCTGATTCTCATCCCAGCCGCTTCACACTCGGCTGCGAACCGCTCCAGTGGGAGCTGAAGATCACGGCACGATGACGCCAACAGGACCACATCATCTGCAAAGAGCAGAGATGGAATCCTGATGAACAGATGTGATGATTATGAACAGAATCGCTGACAACAGGCAGCCCTGGTGGAGTCCAACTCCCACCCTGAAGGGGTCCGACTTACACGTGCATTAAGTAATAATGCTGAAATGCCGAGAATAAAGTTTTTTTTTTGTTTTTTTTTTTTAATAAAAGGGGATCAAAAACCAATCCATCACTGGCACAAAGACTTTTCATATGTTATACTGATTTTAGAAAAGGATTCAATTAATCAAATTCTTACTTTCTTAACACAAGGACCATACCTTGTGTCTTCAGCTGTACCCGATCTGTAAATGACTCCTCAAAATGCCAACATATTCAGCCCGAGTTTTACAGGAGAAAAACAAAAGCAACTTTTAAAAGTTTGAGATCATTTAAGGGCCAACGGTACATGTGCATGTTGGACCCTGTTTTTATGAAGAATTAATTAACCTTTATTTAACCAGGCAAATCCCATTGAGATCACAGATCTCTTTTGCAAGGAAGGCCTGGGCCTGAAGGCAGACTAACATGCTTGTTTTTGGTCTGTGGGAGGAAACCGGAGTACCCGGAGAAAATCCACGCAAGCACGAGAAGAACATGCATAGTCCACACAGAAAGACCCCAGGTCCAACCGGGAATTGAACCCAGGACCTTTGTTCTGTGAGGCAGCAGTGCTAACCACTGAATCTTTAAATGAAGTTCTGTAAGCTGTTGCTGTTTTGGGAATAAAAACTAACTGAACAGATTTTTTAAAAAGCCATGTTTGTTTTTGTAATTTTATTTGTAGTATAATAAGTAAAAGTGCACCTATAACAACAATATTAATCAAAAAACAAAAACAGAATAAGTCTGGTTCAGAAGCTCAGTGGGCTTCATTTATCGTGACATAGTCCTGGAAACAAAGTTTTTATCCACATTTCTACTTTATTCTCAACATTACGATTTTAGTCGCACTGTTTTAATTAAATTTCAAAACTGAAAAAACAAACACGAAACACTTTCCTCTCAATATTTCTGTGTCATTGAAAGCATTACACCTAAGTTTATCATAACCATCAATTCAATTCAAAAATACTTTATTAATCCCAAAGGGAAATTATTTGTTGCTGTAACTCGTTATCCTCATTTCATTAAGAGATGTTATAGATACTGATGCTGTAGACAGGAAGAATCTCTTGTAAAGGTCCATCCCACAGTGGATCCTAAGAAACTGGCTGCAGATGCCGTCTGATCCGTCCACCCAGACTCTGCTGGCCTCTCGGTTCCCGCAGGCTGTAGGACCACCCGAATGCCGGGCAGAACTCCTCCCAGAGCGATGGCTGCTCCTCCCAGCAGTCTGCTGAGCTCCTCGTTGCTGTGGACAGCCAACTGTAGGTGCAGAGGGACGATCCTGTCCTTCCGCTGTCATGAGCCGTGTTTCCTGCTAGTTCCACGATCTCAGTGGTCAGGCACTCGAGCGCAGCTGGCAGGTAGATGAGAATGCATCCACAGAACATCCTTTTCAACTCATTTGAGATTTGGGGCTGTAGTTGAGATATTATTTGAGCTTTTGAGATGCTAATCAGCTGTTGGTTGTAGAAAACTGCCTTGTTGCCATGGTTACGCATCATAAATGTCCAAAACTATAAAAGTTTCAGTAAAAATCCTTACGGCTGCACAGCGTCTGACACCAGAGGAAACATTCATCCAAAAAATGTGATTTACATCCAGAAAAAGAGGAATTACAGTTTCCAAAAGCAAAATCTCAGAATGAAATTAACAGAGCTGCTCCAACATGCAGCCACCTTGAGCGGCGCAAAGAGATCATGGGTCAGACGCAGTTTTTCTCTCTGATCAACCATGTGAAATGTATTACTGTTCAATTACAGAGTACTATGTACTGTCGCCTGAAAATTTTCAATGTTTCATTTTGTCTATTACTAACAGTGGAAGGGTGAATTATCCTGTGTGCTTACAAAGTGACCAATGACCCTGATGTTAAGCAATATGATTTATATTAATTCTGTTAGGGTTATTTTTAGTTAATACAGTTCATTATGTCCAAGTTAACTTTTGTCAATACTTCCTTTTCGATCAGAGCACAGCAGAAAACCATGCCTATAACAAGTGACAAATCTATGGATTACCCTCTTGGTTTCAAACGGTGAGATTTATTTAAAAAGCTCCAAACAAATTTTGTGTTAATTTGCCTCATGCTTTTGTTAAACCTTTCCTTGCCGTCTAACTGGCATTAATCTGTTCTCCCATTTATTTCCTCTTAGGACTCAGGAAGAATCAAGAGAATCTCCTTCACCAAACTTTGTGTCCTTACAGAGCAACAAATCCATGGATTACCCTCTTGGTTTTAAACTGGAGGGTAAACAACATAGGTAAAGGTTTGGTTAAGATTTTCTGATTGTTGTAATTTAAAAATATATATATATATTATGTACCATATAGATCAACATCCTGCAAAGTCATGTTTCTAGTTCCATCCATCCATTATATTTTACCCGCTTCTTTCATTTTGGGTCATGGGGGTCGCCAGTGCCCATGTCCAGCATTCACTGTGCGAGGGGCAGGGGACACCCTGGACAGGTCACAAGTCCATCACAAGGACACAAAGAGACAAACGAGACAAACAACCATTCACTCTCTCACGCACACCTTGGAACAATTTAGAGTTACCAATCAGTCTATCATGCATGTTTTTGGTCTGTGGGAGGAAACCGGAGTACCCAGAGACAACCCACGCATGCACGGAGAGAACATGCAAACTCCACCCAGAAAGGTCACCAGACCGTGATTTGAACCAGGGTAACCTGCTCGCTGAGAGGCAACAGTTCTACCAGTTGTACCACCGTGCTGCCCCATACCATACCATACCATACCATACCATAGCATACTATACCATACCATAACATACCA